CGAAACGCAAGACTACGCTTTTACGACCCCCAACTGACGATGCTGTTCGCCAAAGGCCCCCGATTCGCCCCCGAGAAGAGTGAGTCGACTCGTATCTTCGTGTCACGGAGTCTCCAGTTGACTGTGGAACTGCCGATAGTTCCAGACGTCCCAGGACCGAACTCGTATAACCCGCTACAAGGTAAGTCCACAACACGCCACTCAAACGAGAGGAATCTGACGGTGAACTCCCGCCGGACAGACTCGCAGCTCGATGCTTACAAGCGCGGAGCTTTCCTTGAGAAAGCCGATCGTTTCTCGAAGGATAAACCCTCTGACGCCCCAGGTAAACTCGCCCCCTACGCCCGATTCTCAGACGTCCTGAGCTCCCTTTAGGACCTGGCTCTTCTGCCGCGAAAGAGCGGCCTCCTTCCAGGACGTCGAGGCCACCTACCGCCACCGGTAAACACCCAGTCGACGACCGATATGCGGTCCTCCTGAAGAGAATTGAAGAGCTGGAGAGAGTACACGCAGATGATAAGAAACAAGTCAGTCAGCCTTCTTTCTCTCTTCCTTTGAATTCCCCTTCGACCCTTCAACTGAAAAAAACTCCATGAACGTGTACGATTCAGCACCAAGCGGATCTCGACCGCCACAAATCTGAGCTCGCTCGTTTGACCAAGACGAATACCGAACAATCCGAACGATTGGATAGATTGAAGAAGCAGAACGAGGGGTATGAATTACGCGCTCAGGAGCTGAAGAAGAGCAGTGTGGCTGAGCAGGCTGAGATCAAGGAACTCCGGCTCAAATTACGCATGTCGGAGCACGAGAGGACACAGCTTGCGAGCAAACAAGGGGAGAGTGGGGACGTGAAGAAAGCGCTGTCGAGTCTCGAGTCCAAAAGGAGGGAGGACTTGAGGGAGCGCGAGCGGAAGATTGCAGAGTTGGAGAAGACGGTGGCTGCGGAGAGGAAGAAACGGGAGATGCTGGAGTCTTGCCTGCATGACGTCAAGAATAAGGCGGATGAAGAATCCGTGAAGCTGCGCGCTAATGCGAAGAGCTTGCAGCGGGAACTGGAGGAGGCTCGGACGGACGGGCAGAAAACTCAACAGGCGGCTTCTGCAGTCCGAGGTGAAGCCGCAGGTCGAGAGGAAGCGCTCCTGGTACAGCTGGAGCAATGCAGAACGATGCTTGGTCGTGTGGCAGAAGAATACGGATACTTGGCGTCCTCGACAGTGGCTACCAAAGTGTACGACAGCCTCAAGGAGGAGCACATCACTCTCCAGGTTCGCTCTCTTCGCCTAGAACGCAAACTCGCCAACTCGGAGGGCCAAGTCACGGAACTAGCAAACCTCATTCGCCAGGCGAAGGAAGAGAACAAGGGTATTTCGTTGCAGCTACGTGACGCTGAGCGAGAGATCGCCTTTTACTCCCAGTCGCTTCATGAGCGCAGTCTTTACCACGTTCCTCGAGAGGTTTTCTCCCTAGAAGAAAACAAACTTGCAGCTGTTCGTGACGGTATCACTGAATGCCAGCGATGCATCCTCGAAACTGCACTCGAACATCAAGCCGCCGCTCACGAGTTTTACCGTACCCAAAGCTCCGACCTGCAATCGCAGATGGCCAGCCTGCAGAAAGCGGCCGAACGAGAGCATTCCGCAACCCAAGGCCTCGTTGAGGAAGTATCAAAACTTACTGCCCTTCGCGAAGCATCTGATACTGAACTCCGCAAACTCCAAACCGAACTCACAGAAGCAACCCACGCCCTCACGAAGGAGCAACTCTGCTTGGTAGAAACGCGTCAGTCGCACGATGCGCTTCGAGAAAAGATCACTCAACTCGAGAAGAAATCGAGTGATGAAGCTTCGAAGCTCAAGGAAGCCGCGCAGAAAGAACGGGATGCCGCTCAGAAGCTCTCGGCCCAGCTCCATATGAGCAAGACGGCCGAAGAAACGTTGAAAGAGGAGATCGAGCAGTATGTCCTTTTCCCCTCTCTAACAGAGCGGAATCATTCTGATTGTGTTTCACAGGCTCCATCTCGAGTTGACCGATGCTTCGCGGTTCCAAGACGCGTATTACAGACTGGTTGACGAGACGGAGGATCTCCTGGCAAGGAACGATCTAGCAGAGGAAGAAGCTGAACGGCTCAGTAGATTCAATGCTGAGATACTTGGGCATAATAATCCTTCCCAGAGGATCGTGTATGTCGATAGAATTCGCAGGGAGCTTGCGGAGACTAAGCAGGTATGCATAATACGCCAATCAAGTGATGATTGTTCAGTCTCAGACTTACCCCCCTCGCAGACGCTCCTGGTATGCACGCGCGATCGCGATGCGTTCGCAGCAGCAAATGAAGACCTCCGCCACGAACTCGGACTATACAAATCAGCCGTAGTCCCAGTCGAAAACAAACCTCGCTCACTCTTCATCCGAGTTGCTCGACCGCCTCTGACGAGTCAAAGCCTGAACGTTAATAACGTGAAAACGAATACGAACATGACACCATCTTCCATCGACGCTACCAAACATGTGATATTGGAGCATTTACCTGGTCCTGGTGATATGACTTTGGACGAACTCGTTTGATGACGGGGCTTTCATGATTGTTGGTGTGTTTGTATGCTCTATTTATCTCGTATGTATTTGTCGCCCTATCTCATATCAATGCACTGTCTTGGAAGATTCTCCGCGAATCGTGAAACGTGAAAGACTCAAATTCACCTCGTAGATTTGGAACCGAGTAAAATCAGCTAGTCTTCGACATGCACTCCGTGACCACCGCGTTTACTCTCTCCTTGTGGTAGTGGAGGCGCATCCCACAGGCCAACCGATGGTCATAACATGCGCTAGCCAGCTGTTTGTCGTTGGGGGGAAATACCACATGATAAACCATGCCCTCATGGGTAAAACAATGGAGTTCCTTGAATGTCGAGACATTCCACAACTTCACGGTTTCATCTGCAGAGGCGCTGGCAGGTATTTTCCCGTCGCTGGAGAGAGCTAAGGAGTAGATGGCGCCATCATGTGCACGTAACGGCTCGCCGACAGCTTCCCCTGTCGTGGCGTTCCATCGATGTATGGTGAAGTCTTGTGACGCCGAAATCAATTCTTCGTTTCTAACAGTCCAGACCACAGACCCAACGATATCCTCATGTCCCTTCATTGGTTCTACGAGCAACTCTCCAGTGTCCCACGTCCACATGCAAACAGAATCATCGTACGATCCTGCCACCAGTTTTGAGCCGTCACGAGAGAACTTGACGCAATAGACTACATCTTCGGCCATTTGAATCGAAAGGGATTGACGTCATCGATGAAATAAATAATCTCAGAACGTGGGACGAAAGTAGCCCAGAGAACCCGGGTATGTGCACGTGTCCGAAACAAAATATGTATGGCGTGTATGATGGTGGAGAAAAGTTCAAAGGGTGATGGGTGTATAGTACAGGACAGACAGAGGGGAGAGGGATATCTAAGGAAATTCGGAGTCGATGCAGTGGTCATGAGTTGACAAAGATATGTTTCATCCTTGAATTGGCTGATAAGCCCTGTTACCAGCAGCCCACTTCTTGCCACGGTCCGCAGCCATTCCAGTTACAATGACACCGAAACCGACGAGGAGACCAACCACCCATGAGATGGTATTCAGGACAAAGCCAGCACCTATACAAGCTAAGTATACATCAATAGTTTGCACAACGACGAACGTACCTGGTTTGGCATGCTCAAACGAGGGGAACCTGTTTTTGCGGTAAAGTTCCGTGACGAGACTGAAAGTAGCCAGTTGGAAAACAGCTGCGGAAATTTTGGTCGCAATTCTCAGAGAATGTGAGAGATATGCCTACCGTGTAGCAAGACCAGGCCAGCTACAGCCCTCCAGACCCTACGCCGCCTGGAATGTGTGCTGACTCCGATCAGCAAGGCCACCAGAGCCATCGCAGCAAATCCGATGCCCAGCTCAGTGAAATACTGAGCAGACACCCATGCAGCGCAGAATATACGGTTTTCTTCCTCACATCCGTCTTGAACTCGGAGAGGGAAGGGCCGACATTCGGTTTCGGTGTATTCGAATTTGCCTCCCTTGCTAGGCCCAGGTATGCTGATGACAGAACGTTCGCAGCGTTCCATAAGTCCATAACGGACTGTTATTTTGGTGTTCAAGACGTCATATCTTGCGATGAGCCTTCAAATGAACGCGTCAGGCTGCTAACTGGTGCAAATATTGGCCTCTGGCGAACCAATCCGGGAGACGAGCAGACAAGATGTTCTGGTCCACAGAAAATGAGTCTTGTGGCTACAGGGGGTAATGAGAATGGGCTCACAATGACCAGGACGAGGAGAACTCCGATAAAGGTCACGACATAGGACGTTTTTCTCATTTTCGCTGGCTACTTCAGCACGTTGAGGAGTTAGGTTGGGTTGTCAACGAGGACCCGAACCAGGAGGTATTTATGCGCTCAATTGGGGGCGTTCAATGCTCCACTCGACGAACAGGGAAGTATCGCTTACATAAAAATAGCCATGCTGCGAGTGGCTCCCAGCTATCTTCAATTCTTTGCCACTATCTAAGATCAACCAGCGACTAAGCGCGTCCATTCGCACATCTCCCTCGGCACATCAATTCGTAACAGCCCTTGTGGTGAAGCGTAAGAGGTCGACAAGTCAGGTAATGGATACCCAAAGTTCCTGTTCGCATCGCCGCACGTAGATAAGTAGCGGATTACGCGACTGGACCGACCGTGGCCGTACGTCTCTGCGAGCATCCGGGGACATGCACGCAAATCAGATTCGAACCATACTGTCAATCCTTTTCTGAGCTTCTGAAGCTACATGAGGTCGACGTCGTGAATCTTCAAGAGCGAGCGCGCCGGCTAACAGATGCATAGAAAAGGTTTATAGATTACAATTTTCGGTTGGGCATGTCGCGTCCTTGTCGATTAGTGGTTAAATCATCACGTTGTGGAGCATACCAAACCGTGAAGCCGGAGGTTCGAATCCTCCCTGGGACACCATTTCAGGTCCTTGTCGATTAGTGGTTAAATCATCACGTTGTGGATTTCACCAAACCGTGAAGCCGGAAGTTCGAATCCTCCCTGGGACATCTTTTTACTCTTTGGTGGAGTGGTTTGCATCCTGAATGTTGTGGGCCCGCGCGAGGACAGGCATTGAATGGTGTGTTTCTTACAGTAACGCGAGCCCATTGCCAGATGACGAGGAAACGTGAACTTTGAAATTACTCGTAGAGGGAGTGTATACACGAAAGCAGAAACTATTCGATAGCAAAAAACACATAGTTGACCTAGCCAGAACCCACATCTCAAGATCTTGGTACTCCTTGTACAACACGCGGATATCTCTGAGCAATCATCTGTTGAGGGCTTCGTCAGATCTCACAGGCGAGACACAGGAAAAGGAGCTTACACCAAAGAGCTCAGGTGCACGTATGGCCAATACCTGAGGGTCTTCCCCAAGACCGACAAAGCTAGATCGAGAGTAAGCCAAAAAAGTCCATCGCACTGAAGAGCGTACTTACATGGTCGACACTCCAGCCTCGATGGCAGAAGATAAAGTGAGCGCTGAGAATATGAAAAGCTGTCAGATCAGTAGTAATGGCGACAGCATGGTAGCCTTACAGCATTGAAGCCCGATCAAAAATGCGAACAAGACAACGGGCGCTGTGTACTGTCCGTCGGAATTATACGATGGGTTTGTAACTGTAGACCGGCGTGAGTTCAGTGGCACAAAATAAGAGATGACACTGACGCCGCAAGTAAAGATAACCGAATAATGAGCAAAGCAGTCCTGTCACGTAACCTCCAAATAGCAACGCTGTTGCAAACATTGGCCTTGGAGAATCGGCAAATACCAAAGGACCCACTCGTTCCGACAAGTGAGTCATTAACAAGAGCGTCGATGCCTTGACGGAAGGTTGAGTTATACGAGAGGTTGAAGTACACGTAGAAATACCTCGGTCCTTGAACATCTTGTAGGTATCTTTGGCTGCGTTTATGTACGACTTCCCATACAACGCTATAACGAAGCCAGGTCAGAATGAACAACGTCTGAAACGAGAAGTCGACATACCGATCTCGATGTAGGCATACCGGTTGAAATACTCCACCAAGTTCTCGATGCAGCCTACGAAACATTCTGCGCAGCAAGCAAGACACGCTTCAACAGCTGTATGACGAGAAAAAGAGTCAACACTACGAAGCACCAAGTAGCAAGCTTGGACGCACGGCTTCCATCCGCGCTGGCGCTATTCCTCGCCGCGTTGAGTATGAGTCTGATAAGCTCGAGGATGGTCACGATCAGTGAACCAAATGCGATGGAGCCCAGGGAATATGTCGATGCGCGGGCGAAGGCGCCAAGAGTCGGGTGATTGGGCTACTCGAAGGTATCAGATGATAAAGACGTCTGTCAGAACTTCGATGCCCACCATTTGTCCCTGATCACGGGGACCGAAGTAGTACCAGCCTAGAACGAGATGAGAACGATACAAAAGTATCGAGAGACACTACCCACTTCCATAGGGACCACCCGCGAGTGTAGCAAGTGCAATATTGCCAATGACTTGCGAGGTCCATAGGTAGGAAAAGACGGCGTAGAATATCAGACCGGCTACCTTTCCGGAGGAACAGGATGATGTCGTTCCGCATGCTGGAGGGAGTTTCAGTGGGAGACGTGGGGGTGAACTAGGCACTCACTTGGATTTCCGGGAGTAAATTTGGCATATCTGCCAAGAAGTTAGACCCAATGTGAATAGGAGAAAAGTTTCGACTTACATCGCAATGGCGGTGAAAGTAAACCAGCTAGTGCGCGCCCGTCAATACCAATCCAAGAAATGAACGCGAAAGAAATACTTACACACTCATGGCAGCCTGGAAAAACAAAGCAGTGAAGGCCACGAAGTAAACGCTGAGATGATGTTTTGAGACATCCATCACAACTTGCAGAAGCAAAGACGCTAGAGGAATCCGAGACCTGAATCCGAAGTAGGCGAGCACCGAGAAAAGTGCTATGATCGTGAAGATGATAGCACCCGCTGAATCAAACAGTTAGCGAAATGATAATGTCAGTGCAAAACACATCCCAGCTCACAGTAATATTTCGTGATCCAATAGTAAACGCAGATTGCACTGCAGGAATGTAAGTCGTTGCTCACTTGAATGTCGTCATCACTTACATGTTCAAGGCGATGGATAGTATCAGCGTAATGTGCATTATAGCTCGCGTGAAGGCACGCGCCAGCATCAAGTATGCCGAAGCTAGCAATAAGCCAGCGGCAGTCACGAGCAGTAAGAGATATACGGTATGTCTTCTCAGAATCAGTAGAGTCCTCGTGGTCGTCCCTTGAAGTTGCCTACCGGTTTAGCGTGACCGAGGTGCCAGTCTGGCTACCATTCCCAAGTCCACCCCCTAACCCTCCATCTTTCACCCACTGTGAGATGACAATTCCGGAGAGTGCTGCAAACCCCAGAAGCTGTCGAGGAAGCTTAGAGCGACTTGTATAGAACAAGAGTTGACCCGAGCTCACCTGCAGGATGAAAAGTATCAAGAAGAATATGTCGTTCACTCGCTTCTTCGGCTGGAAGCGTCCGTCCTCGAAAGGATTCTTGGCGTCTCCATACGATTGGTCTGGTGGATAAGGAGGCTGGCCGGCACCTTGTGCGTAAGGCTGAGAATAACCAGGAGTCGGTCCTCCTCCATTTTGTATGAAAGGCTGGTATTCGTGCTGCTGTTGGGCTCCCCACTGGTCTTTATTCCAATCCGCCATGAACTTGAGTCTTGAAGTATGAGTTGTGTTGTCGGTCGATTACGGTTCGTGAAAGAGCTAGGTAGAGTAAATGAAGCGAACTAAGTACAGGCCTCGAGGTTTATAGCTGCGAAGCGACTCATTTGAAACAGAACGGCGCATAACTCTTGGCTTCTACAATTGCCTAGAGCTTCGATCGTTGGTGGCACTCCACAACGCTCACTTCCGTTTCCCGACTGCCGTGCCGATCACGATGTTTGGGCCTCAAGTCGGGGCGTCGCTTTTAGCGTTTCACCGCCAAGTTCAGCTCCTGCACGGTCCCATCGCGCACAAGTGCTTTCATTTCCTTGAAAACCGAAGATTGACGTGTGTGCAGCCAGGCTTTCAACATGATCACCGCGTTTTCGCAGAATTGTCTTGTGGATTGTAATTGGCAGGTGGCAAGGCACGCACGCACGCCATTACAAGTGAAAGCGACGAGTCACCAGCTCACCCTGAGCAGGAGAACGACCATGCCTTGCAAGTTCGACCGATGGTCTATGTCCGTAAAAGCCAAATAAGACAATGGATAATGTCGAACGTCGATGAACTGGCGTGCACTACTTTAAGAACAAGGAGGCCCCTTGGCTTAGTCTGGTGACAGCCCGTCCAATGAAGCAAGTTATCGACGGGTTGCCTCAGACGGTTTCGTTACGAGATTACCCATGACTGTGGCTGCATCCCAATGTCACGACGAATCCGGTAAGGGAATCAGTGCACCATCAGCGCTCAGATCAAGGCGTTTCACAGCGTGGAGGTTCGTCTCCAGAAGGACCATGACAGGTGAATCTCTGGCGACCCCTGGACGTGGCTGGGAGGCGTCAGGGGGCATTCGTTGCAGGAACCAGCCATAAGATATGTTGTGCTGTTGTTTCAGCGCCATGCCAGACAATCCCATGGATCGAGCCTCTGAAACTATCAATAGATGGTCTTGACAGGGACTTGTCGCCCCTTCCCCTGGTTCCCTTCGGTGGGGGCTGTGACCAGAAGTTTATCGGGTCCGATGGGACATGGGAGGACGATCTGCTAGAACAAGGTAGTAGAGTCCCACTGTTCGTGCGCCCCTCCCAAGGGCTCGGTATAAGCTAATGATAGAGTGTGAAACCATAACGTTCGGCGCCTCCCACTTGGCATTGCGCAATCGATCGCGGACCGTGCGGCGCAGAACCGAGCGCGGCTTGTCTACTCGCGGAGATATTAGTTTTGATAGCAACATAAAGCGTATTTTTAAATTTACTCAGTCAAGTGTCGATGTCATCATCTTGTCAGATTGTCACGCCGATGCGGAAGAATCGAGGAAGTTGCGAAATGCAGCGGGCGCTTCGGTGGCAGGTGGTCGCAGGTTGGAATCCCAACAGGCCCCAACCCGTGACTGAAAGAAGGGTCATTCCATCTAAGAGCTACAGACGTTAATTAGTCAGTAATCGGGTCAGCAGATATGGGGGAGCTCCACAAAAGGTTTTCGCGGAAGAAGTCCCAGTGGCCCGGAACAGAACTTCATCGACCTTCTATCTAGATAGAATCTTGTCTGGGCGGTAAGATTGTACTAGGGCCCATTTGAAGCTGAAATGAAGTAAACTTGGGAAAGGGACGATAAAGAGATAACATCCTGTGGGCGCGTGACAAGGCATCGTGACTGGGATTCAACGGCCATTCGAGGTGAACATGCCCTAGGAAGAGACCCGATGCGGTATAACCTCTGCGAATACTACCAATTAGAAGACCTTCCAGACCCGCAGGTCAGTGGAGCAGTGAGAACACGACGTCGACAAGTGCGACACTCGGCTTAATATCCGCAGGATAAATGATCTTGAGTATACACCTGTATACACGCCCATCCCTGGGTGGAGGGCGCCATTGACAGCAAGTCATAGTAGTTCCCAGTAAATTTCCACCTACATACAGCATTATATACAATATTGCTGGTGGGCTCGTGCAAATGTCGCACACATTCGTCAAATACGGAGCTGAGGCCGTCGTTCCGAGGGTGGCTTGAGTAAAACAACGGCATTGGTGGAGAAACAATGTCATATGGCTGCATGTTAACGGCGTGCAAGGGTTCTTCTTCCATCGATTGTCTGGACAGAAGCACTTTGACAGAAATCGATGGATGAGGGTGCGATTCGATGGCCTGAAAATTAAGAAAGCAGATGATGAGGTGCGAGGGGTCGGCAAGCCACAAGGTCCTGTGACAGTTTACTGACAGCGATCCGGCTCCGGACTGCCTGCCTCGCGCAAAGCACGGGCCAAAGTCCGTTGCTACCACCAAGCCGACGTTACCACCATTAGGAAATTTGGTAGTAAAG